GGCAGCGCCGGGACGGCATCGTCCCCGAGCAGTGGATCGGTGAGCGGGGGCGGGGGGGGGGTGGCGGGGCCCCGGGGGGGCGGGGGGGGGCGGCTGCCGGGCCCCGGGGGGGACGCGGGGCCCCCTGAAGGGCTCAGCGCCGTCCCCTCGGCTGCACGCAGACGGCCCGAAGGACACGACGGTGGAGGACGCGCTGGACAAGACGTACCTGCCGTCCCTGAAGACCTTTGAGGAGGAGATCATGGACGCCATGGGGATCGTGGAGACGCGCAGGGCCAAGAAATCTTACTGGTATTAACTGGTGGGGGACGGGGGAGGAACCAGAACCCCCCCGGGGCTGGGGTCTGCAATAAAGACACCCCGTTATTTTCCCCGTTTGCAGCGCGTGGTGCTTTGGGCGCAGCCCCCAACTCACACCGAGCCCTGGGTTGTTCAAATCCCGGTTTTATTGCGGTTCGTGCCCGGCAGCGGGAGCCGGGGGGTTCCATCCCTCGCCGGGGGGCTCCGCCACCTCCTCGTCCTCGTCGCTGTCCTCGTCCAGACCCGACAGCACCGCGCCCAGGGGCGTCCGCGCCGCCACCAGCACCAGGTTGCGCGGGGAGAAGCGGGGATCGAAGAGGGGGACGAGGGCACAGTGGAAACCTGCAGGGAGAGGGCGGCTCGGTACCGGCAGCGCCGCAGCCCCCTCCCCGCCGCCCCGGCACCCACCTCGCTCCCGTAGGTAGAGCAAGCGGTCGAGGAGGATGAGGGTCTCCACCAGCGGAGCCAGCAGCAGGGTGAGGCTGAAGAAAGCCACCACCTTGTGTTGCTGCTCCAGCATGGCCTCCACGGCCTCCGAATCCAACGGGACGGCGGCCGGATCCAGCCCCACGCGGGGCAGCCCCAACCGGGCGTACCTGCGGGCTAACGTCAGCCAAGGGGACGAAAAGGGGGGGGACAAAAAGGGGGGGGGTCCCCACCCCAAACTCACTGGGGGAAGCTGAGGGCGTGAGCCTTCTTCACCGTCTGCACCCCGGGGCGTTTCTTGCCGGGATCGGCCGCCCGGATCAGGGTCTCCAGGACGGCGCGGTAGCAGTGGGCGCGCAGGGAGCCGCTGGCCCCATCCAAGCGCCTCACGTACTCCTCCAGCGCGTGGCAGGCGCCTTCCCTCGCCCGATAGGAAAGTTCGTGGCCCGGTAATCCGGCTACCCAAGCGCTCAGCGGGTAGCCAACGAGGCAACCGGGAGGTTGCGGAGAGGTGGAAAGCTTCATGTGGCAGCAAGCCACCGAGGCGACGGCGGCCACGGCGGGGCTGCGGGCGAAGTGCCGCAGCAGGGCCGGGCTGAGGTCCCCGCAGGCGTGCAGCCCCGTCACCAGCACCCCTTCCCCCGCCGGGCCCCCCAGGGGGTTCCTGGCCACGGGAGCCGACCCCGGCGGCCCCGGG